AAAGAAAGCCAAAAACCCCCCCCCCCCCAGGGTGGATGACCATGCCACAGTCCCTTCTCCTCCATTCTCTTGGGATCTTAGGCACACACATGTGTCCAGTGTGAGTTTAAGCTACTGGGTCAGGGACTTGAACTGCAGTTGACTATGTGGGAGTCCAGCGACATAGCCACTACACCAACTGCTGGTCCCTGAAAGAATATGAATTTTGTAATCATCATTTATTCACCTATTCCATAAGAATTTTATTGAGCATAGTCCCTCCTCTCATGGAACTTAGTCTCGCGGGGTGGCAGATATTTAAAAAGTAAGTGTAAGTAAGTACTTTTGCGCTGTGACAGCAGCTGCGCAGGAGTATGGGTTGCAGGGAGCACAGGTGGGAGTGAATGAGACTTTAAATCAAGGAGTAGGGGACAGTACCATATAGTCTGGGAACCGAAGAATAAGGACAAAGACAACCAGGTGACCAGTGGGAGAACATTCTAGACAGATGGAAGAGCATCTTGAGACCCTCATTGGGAAAGATCTGGAAGAAGTGAAAAGGGCCAGACCACATGGGAACTTGGAGTCTTTGCAGGGAAAGTGTGGAGAAGTTACGGGAAGGTTTTTGAACTCTGGCGTGTCATGATTTTCTTAAAAAAAACAAAAAAAAAATTGGCTGGCTTCTGTGGAAATTGATTAGGGAAGTGGAAGAGAGAACAGTAGAAGTTACTGCCATGGCTTTTCAATGAACAGAAAAAAGAAATACAAAAGTAGAAATTTACAGAAGCAGGAATTTTAATATTCTCTTGCAACTCTCTGAGTACATGCAACTCATTTTGGAGGTTACCATTCTGGATCAGCATGTCTCAGCAGAAGCCGATCGCCCCCGCTCCTGGGGACACTGGTCATTTTGGGTTGACACAACTGTTGTACTTCTTGTAGAGACCAGAGCTGCTGTTTAATACCCTTCTGTGCACGGGTCGGTCCCTTCACAAGAATTATCTGGCCCATCTTATCCTAGGCCGAGTTTAAGAAATTGATGCAGACAAAAGATTAGGAATAAGATGACGGTCATAGTTTTATGGGTAAGTAGAGGAAGTCAGGATGTCAAGATATATTAAGGAGGTTAAGATGCATTTGAAACATCTTATTAGAAATAGAAAATTCTAGGTATATATCTCAAGTGTCAAAAAAAAAAAAGAGTTTTTTTTTTTTTTTTTTCCCTTTGCAGTAGAGAACCCATAGAACTTACTGGTGTTCTAATTATAGCTTTCATTTAGGGTGTATACTCATTTAATTTCAGTTTATATGAAGTTGATAATAGGAATTATACCTTTTATTATAGTCTTAATGCTTGATATGAGACTATGTAGGAAACAATTTTGAGTTTATTTTATTTATTTTTTAAGGTTTTTGCCATAGGGTATATGCAACTCTCTGTGGAGAGACTAAGAGAGGGAACGTGAGAAATATTTCGCCCCACGTCCCAGGAGAATGGCCATACCACGATCTCTCCTCAGTTCTTTTCTCAGAATTTTGGGCACACATGCACACTTCCTCAGCATGAGTTTTAAACCACTAGGTCCAAGACTCAAACCACATTCAACCATGTGGAAGTCCAGCACGTTAACCACCATGCCAGCATTTCCTTTTTCAGATGACAAGGTATCAGGTGGTATTTTCAGTTGTGAAGGCCAAGAGATAAAAATCAAGAATATTCTCTAGGAACTTATAATTGTTTAAAACGAAGCCATTTGAAAGCATAAAAACCGTTCTAAGTTCCTGAGTAGTAAATCACAAGGAAACAACATAAAAATCAGCTGGCTGGAACTGGCTCATAAACTCATAGTTTGTCCATTTCTCCTCTCACCACTTTGAGAAATTTTAGCTAGAATATACAGTAGGTATTTGAAACAAAATTGTGGGAGATGTCGATGGCTACAGATTATATCAGTTTCCTTTAGATTTTTTCCATGGACATATGGGGTAAGGAGGGGGACTTTCATGTTCATGAAGAATTAAAATTTTTTTCACCCCATGTGATCAATCTTTGCATATTTTAGATCTTTGGTGTTTTTTCGTATGACAGGTTTTCCCTGTTCGAATTTGTTTTTTAAAAATTGATAAGCTGCTGCCCTCTTGTGGGAAGCTTATGTCATTGTGTTTCTTTGTTACTCGTATTTCTTTATTTTATAATAGATTAAGTTTATTAAATACAATAGCATGCTCAGAGATGATCTGTAGTTGGAAAAGTCACTGTCAATCTTAATTATTATTCTAACATGTTAATCATAGCTATTGCTTCTTAATATTAACGATGGAATATTTTACCTGTTTTTGAAAGGAGTAAGGCAAATGCATTTGAAACTATACCCCTCAGGTTAACCATGCCAGCAGCAATATAATAAAACAAAGACCTTTTTATTTGTGTGTTTAAAACTACTGCCTTTATTCAAACAGCTTTGACATACTCATTTAAAGTATACAGTCTTTTTTTTTTTGTATAGTCAAAGATAGGCAACTTCTATAGTCAAATTTTTGAACATTTTTTTATGTCTCAGAAAGAAACTCTGTACCCCTAAGCTATTGCCCATCTGTTCCTGCCTTTTCCTGCCTGACTCCCCTACACTCAACGCTGTGACTAATTACTTGTTTACTTTCTGTCTCTATGGATTTACCAGTTTTAGACATTTCATATACATGATATATGTGGTGCTTTGTGATTGGCTTCTTCACTTAGTGTAACATTTTCAACCATGTGGAAGTCCAGCGCCTTAGCCACCATTCATATGTCTTGTAGCGATACGTCAGTGTGCTCCATTCCTCTTAGGCTGAATAGTGCCCCACTGTGTGGCCATACCACATTTGTTTATCCGTTCATTAGTTGGTGGACATTTGAGTTATTTCTACTTTTGGTTCTAATGAATAATGCTTCTATAAACACTTATGTACAGGTTTTTATGTGGACATATATTTTCATTTTTCTGTGTATATATAGGGGAGTTGATTTTGGTTCAGATGGTAACTCTGTGGAACTATTTGAGGAACTGCTGAGTGTTTTCCAAAAATGCCTGCACCAGGGGACCAGTAGTTAGCGTAATGGCTATGTCGCTGGACTCCCATGTAGTCGACCATGGTTCGCGTCCTGGACCTGGTGGCTTAAACTCACACTGGGCATGTGTGCGTGCGTGCCTAAGATCCTTAGAGGAGAATGGTGGAGAAAGGATTGTGGCATGGCCATCCCCTCTGGGGGGGTGATTTCTCGCTTTCTATCTCTTTGTCTCTTTCTTTCTCGCAAGCGCACGCGCCCAATAAGAAAAAAAACTCTCAAAAAAAAAAAAAATGACTGCATCAATTTACTTTTCCACCAGCAGTGAATGAAGGCTCTGGTTTTTCCACATCTTTGTCAACACATGTTATTATCTGACTTACTGATTGTAGCCACTCTAGTAGGTATGAGGTGGTATCTCCTTGTGGTTTTGATTTGTAGTTGCCTGATGATTAATGATGTCTAACATCTTTTCATGGGCCTATGGACATTTGTATGTCTTCTGTATATTTAAACCTACTGCCCTTTTATATTGTGTTATTTGTTTCTTTATTGTTGAGTGATAACCTTTCTTTAAATATTTTCATGAAGTATCTCTACCCTTTTACTTTCTACTACCTATATTGTTAGAATTACAGTGAATTTCTTGTAGACAGCATGTAGTTGGGTCCTGTTTTAATCCACTATTCTCATTTCTGTCTTTATTTGATATGTTTAAACTATTTATATTTATTCTAATTATTGATATGTGAGGGCTTTAAGACTATTTTATTTTTTTATTATCTCATTTTGTTGTCTTCCCCTTTTAGAACTTTTGATTTGTTTATAGTGTTCTTTGAGTGTTTCTCTCTGTATCATTTTTTCTTTTCTTTCTTTCTTTTTCTTTTTTGCCAGGGTCTGCATGCTCTCACCAGAGAGACACAGAGCACCTCTCACCCCTGAATGGGGCCTGGTTATGCCACAATCCTTTTTTTACCACCATTTCTCCATTCCATCAGAAGTTTGGCCACACATGCTAATAAACACTCACCTGTTTTAAAGTCTCTGGGGCCGGGATTCAAACTGATGTTGGTCATATGGGATCTGGTTCCCTAAGTACATGTCTTAGGATTAGCCCTGTATGATCTTTTTAGTGTTCCCTTTTTCTCTTTACAGAGAGTTTGTAGTCTCAGGTTCCAGTCTTAAGAAAGAGGAGAAAACATGAATTATGCAGATTAAACTTAAAAGTATGTCCTATCTGTAGCTGTTATAGTATGGTTAGCAAAAAAACATTGAGAAAATAGTCTTCTAGTGTGTCAAAACTTATTTAATTCAATAAAAACATTGCTCACATCATCGAACACATGGAGTTCCAACATAAATCTTCATTTTTTTCAGTTACTTTTTTACTTTGTCTTCCCCTTTAACATAAATAAAAGCATCATCCAATATTCATGTTAGAACTGCACTTACCCATCAGCCGTAGCCATAAGTTACAGATCTAAGTTCCATGAAAATCAGCTAACGTGTTCTGTGAGAATCAATGGGCTACGTAGAATTAATAATTAAGAATTACAGATTTTATTTGTGAAATTCTGCACTACAGATTCTTTATGTCAGTGTAGTTTATAATAAGTAATGTACCTATATGTGTATATTAGACGTATCAGTGTATGGATACACGTAGAATATGTGGTCACATGCTGTCCTTAACGTCAAACCAGTTTAATCCTCAGACGTTGAACCGCATGGTGCTGAGACTATTACCATTACCCTGGATTTTTACAATCGATAGCACTTACGGTTTTAGTTGAACAGGTCTACCTGAACAGACTAACTGCAGAAGCAGACATGTCACTGATTCCGACCATCTCTGTCACCCTGTGTCTATATAATGGTCTATGAGCTGGCAAGTGGATGTGCTCATCTCAGGTAGACCATACAGGAGACTGTGGCTACATACAGTGTTTTCTTTTTTATTTGGAGAAGTTTTTGCTATAGGACATGTGTGCTCGCCAGAAAGACAGAGACAGAAAGACAGAAAGTGAGAAATCACCCCCCAGGCGGGATGGCCACACCACAATCCCTTTTCCTCCATTCTCCTCTCAGGATCTTGGGCACACACACACCTGGCAGAGTTTAAGCCACTGGGTTCAAGACTTGAACCATGGTTGACTACATGGGAGTCCAGTGACATAGCCATTATGCCAACTGCTGGTCCCTAGATATAGTAATTATGAGTACAGGATCCCTCCTCCTGAATAGAGAGGAACTATACATTGGTAATCTCTATGAGCATGCTCACAGTTACCTGAACGTTCATGACGGAGTGCTCTCCTTCTCTCATTTTCAGACTCCAAGGAGTTGAGTGGTATCTCATTTCTGTTTCAAAACTTTGATATTTTAGAATGTAGAAAAGAGATAATCCATTTGAGTTCTTGAGAATAGTGCAGAACATCTGTTTAAAGGGTTTTCTAAAGTAATATTTTATAATCAGATGCAGAGCAGCAAAAATAGAGTCAATTAGTTCTGCCTTAAAACTTGGCAATACATGTTTTTGTGTGTGAAATGTTTAAGGACATTGTTTAAGGGCATTGCTATAAAATTGTTCAATATGCGGCTGTCTTACTATAGACTTTTAAATTTACTCCTCAGTACTGAACAACCGCACATATGTAATATCCCTTTTAATTTTTATTTCTGTGATGTGCTCACGTGCAATATGTAACTCTGAATTTGTCTTGACTTTTCCCCCTTTCAGCTTAATGAGTGGTGTTAAGAACAATGTTGGAAGAGGGATCAATGTTGCCTTGGCAAATGGTAAGAATAATTTGTCTTGGTTAGAGCTGTAGACAGTAGACATTTTCGGGTTCTGAAATAAAATGCTCTCCACTAAAGGGCTCAGGTTAGAGTGCTACTCATGACACCAAAGCCCTCTCCTCGTCCCCTTACCACCATATTACAGATGAACTTACTGTCTGAGGATTTATAACATATTTTATTTTTTGTAGAGGTTTTTTGTTTTTCCTTTGCCTCAGGGAGAGTGCGCTTGCCTGGTAGAGAGACAGAACAGTGAAAGGGAAAGTGAGAAATTCTCCTCAGGGGGCTTGGCCATGCTGCAATTCCTTCTCCTTCATTCCCCTCCCAGATCTTGGGCGTGCATGCACACGCACCCAGTGTGAGTTTCAAGCCACCGGGTTCAGGACTCAACCACAGTCAGCTATGTGGGAGTCCAGTGATGTAACCACCATGCCATCTGCTGGCTCCATAATATGCTTTCATAAAAGCATGCTACCTTGCTGTGTAGTATGTGGAGAGCTTCCCCTGAAATTGTCAGGAAACAACCAATTCAACGTTACATTCGTGAAATCTTACTGCTCATTTTAGAGTCCTAACATAAGAAGTGCTAGGTTGACAAGAATGAGGATGTTTAAAATGGCAGAAGGTGGAGACTGGGGGATGGGGAGGGGAGGAACAGAGTGAGAATTTATTGTGACTTTTAAATCTTGTCTACATTCTTCTGATGGGTTCTTTAGTGTAAATACATTCATTGAGTCCTGAACATCTTGAGTATTCTAGAAAAATAAAATCTGAAAATCTGCACCCTTGAAGTAAGGCCTGACTGCTTACCATTTCTCTCTAATTCGGTACAGTTAGTATTCTGTCAGCTATGTGGGATGGTTAGAAACTACCAGCTACTTTACCCAATTCAGAGTGAAGGAAAACATTTTTTAATTCTTTCACAAGTTGAACATTTTTGCACTTCTACTTTCTTCATTTTCCTAGGTATTGGTCTATTTAATCAATAGCAAAAGTATATTTTAAATGCAAATTTTATAAAAACAATGGCTATAAAATAGAAAGTGGCATCTGATTCAAGGAGTTTCTTTTTTCTGGTAGGTTTGTATATTTTTGTGTAATTATGAAGTATAGGAAAAAGGTAACACGTAAGGATGAAATATATCCGCCTTTGAATTGGAGTGGTCTACAGTCAGTAATGAACTTCTGTTTGCCACTTTCTGGCTTAAAAGACAATGAGAAAATCTGGTCCAAAAACTGCCCTTGAAAAACTTTTCAGAGGATGCAATTCAGGTTTAAAGTTGTCAACGTAATTCCTTCTCCGCTAATGAATTCACATCAATCATTGGATAAGATCATTCACCTTATACAGTGTATGGTATATTTCAGTTGTATTTGATATGAATTCAATCTCTTTCAGGAAAAACAGGAGAAGTATTAGACACTAAATACTTTGACATGTGGGGAGGAGGTAAGCGTGAATAACTTCACTTTTTCTTGTTGGCACTGACTTAATCACCTCTATGTAATGGAGGGGCCGTTAGTGAGAGAATAGTGGTACAATTTGTGAGTTCATTTGGTTTATCTTAGTTTCTTTTAAATAAATTTCCAGCTTATATGTAAGTGATCGAATTATATGTGTTTTATAGTCTGTAAATCTGTGGTGTGTAATTGAGCACAGTAATACCAAAATTGAGAGTTTTCTAAAAATCTGAGTCTTTTTTTTTTTTTACAAGAGAACTAATTCAAAGCTTATAATTTGAAGGTCTACATAACCAATTGACTGAATTACTTTCTTTATGAAGGATTTTTCAGACTCAGAAATTATTTATGACTAGAAACATTCCATATACAAGATAAACTGTCATATTTTAGAAAAGCTGCAGTTCTATTATTCATCCCTGTTGTGTCTTCTGACTTAAGGCCAATTATTGAAGTTGATGAATATTCGAGAGAAGGAATAGAACTATCATTCTGATTGATGGGACTTAAAGCAATCCACAGATAATTCTCCTCCCCATATTTGTGAATCCCTCAAGGAGGATGAAGTTTCAGTATGCAGAGGCAAGGGACTGGTGCTTTGAAGAATGTGTCCCAAAAGAAAGGGGTTTCTTCCTCAAGTTGAAGGAATGCAATACTGGTTTGTCTTTTACTGAAGTTAAAGAGAAATGAGGATTTCAGTAGAACCTCTTCTCATTTGTACATTCCTTGGAAGCCAATAACTACTAGACATCCTGAAATTTATGTTGAATTTTTAAACAATTCCGTTTTTCTGACATTTTTTCAGCTTATAGTAAGATGTCCATGTATTATTTATTTCCTAAAGGAGATGAGGTAAACATTTCATAGCCAGCAAAACCACACACATGTAAAATATTACCATCCATTTTAGATTATAAATGTTTTATTAATCGGTCTTATCAACGTGTAGGATGTAGAAACACTCTTCCGAAGTGGTGGTTGAAATCAGTTGTGTGACCAGAAGCACTGATACTCCCCACTCCCCTCATCACATTAGGTTAATTATTCCTGAAAACACTCTTCCAGTGAAGATGTAGTTGCCCTGTACTGCCATCCTCCCATGTAATTGGAAATAAGTTGTTGGCTACTTGGTTAGACTTCCCAAATGGAAAATGTTCTTACTATAAGATAGAATTAATGAGACAAAAGTCTTTGGAATCTTGGCTGTAGAAAGAAACCAAGTGAATTCAAAGTAACCTAGTTTTGAAATATTATTAGACTTGGGGATTACAAAGCAACCTGAGCTGGTAAAGAGGTCATGATGTAAAATGAATTGGAGCTCCTGACCTTTTTATCTGGCATCACCAGTTTGCAGTCACTGAAGTGGCTTATTTTGAAGTCCTGGTGGATTTTGATTTATTAGATTTAGTGAGTAGTGACTGTAATATTTGTCATAATTAGTTTGACTTTCAGTGACAACCTAACCTACATTCCTTACTATAGTTCATGGCAAGTAGATATACCTAGAAGATCCTTTAAATCTCTCTGTATGTGTGTTTTTACAGATATATCTTTCTCTCTTATTTTAATTTGCTATGGGCCAAAGAGAGAGAGCAAAAGTGAGAAATCACTGTGGCCACACAACAGTCCCTTCTCCATTTTTCTCTTGGAATTTTGGACACACATTTACACACACTCACGTGTTTTTCCAGCTGCCAGGTCCAGGGCTTGAACCACGTAGTAGGCCATGTGGGATCAGCTGCCTTAACTGCCCTGTCACCTAGCTGGCCCACATATATTTTTCACTTACAGATCATTTTGAGAATGGAATGAAACCTATATAGCTCCTCTTTCTAGGAAAGTATCCATAGAAACAGTTTTACCTACATTTAAGAAATCCATGAGCCTCTCCTGCCCCCTAGCCTCAGAATCAGGTTTTTGATAGTCCCGGTTACTGACTACTCAGAAATCTGTAAGATTCTTAAATTATCAGTCAAGCTCTGACATGACTTTGCTATGGCTTTTTCTTAGCCCCAGGAATATCAGTGCAAAAGACATAGTATAAATCATGTTTGGGAAAATGGAGTTGATGATGGATCTTATAAGGGACAAACTCTACACTAGAAATGACTGACTGGTTTACAGATACTTCATATTTTATACTATTGATTTTTAGAGCTAATCACTTTTAACAACCCCCCAACTCTGTCTTTTATTTTTCAGATGTGGCACCGTTTATTGAGTTTCTGAAGGCCATACAAGACGGAACGATAGTCTTAATGGGAACATATGATGATGGAGCAACCAAGTATGTAAACCTAAAACTTCATACAGCTTTTTGGAGCTGTAATTTATGATTTCTTTTAAGCAATACATTATCATTTGGAAAAAAATTTGTAAACTAGAATGAAGTAATTTACTATCAGATAAACACTGTAAACTTTTTCTTTCTTTTTTTTTTAGTGAGAGAGACTAGGAAGGAGTGATTGAGCAGATTGGGGGGCTTACTATAGGGGTGGTATGTTGGACAAAGGTGCATCATATTGCAGTCTTTCTTCCCAGCCCCCTAGTCAGCTAGAAGAACAGGCATGTACCACCTCCCCTGGTCTGCTTAAGCCAGGCCTCCCACAGGACCCCAGCCACCAAGCAGCAACATTCTTCTACTTGCACCACCGTGGAGGGCCTGCTTGTTTGTTTATTTTTTTTTTAGTTTGCTCCCTTTCTGTTTACTTTTTATGCATTTATTTTTGTGAAATTAGAATTACATTGTACATAACATTTTTTATGCTTTTATATTCTGTTTTTAAACCTTAAAGTTGTTTTGTGTGGTTTTTTTTTGGTTTTTTTTTTTTTTTGGTATTAATATTCCTCAGTAGTATTTTTTTTATGGCTTAAGAATAGTTAGTTCACTAGTTCACCCTGTTGGTTTATGCTTATGGCCGGATTTTTCATCTTACAAATAACAGTGTGATAGATATCCTTGTACATGATTTTTCTTTTTGCACTTTTAATTATGTCCTTAGTGTAAATTTCTAGCATTGTAATTTTCTTTTTTTTTTTTTTGGAGAGGTTTTTGCTATAGGGCGCATGTGCTCACCAGAAAGACAAGAGACAGACAGAGAGACAGAAAGCAAGAAATCACCCCCTAGTGGGGATGGCCACGCCACAATCCCTTCTCCTCCATTCTCCTTTCAGGATCTTGGGCACACATGCACACGCACCAGCATGAATTTAAGCCACTGGGTCCAGGACTTGAACTGTGGTTGGCTACATGGGAGTCCAGAGACATAGCCATTATACCAACTGCTGGTCCCTAGAGTTGGAATTTTCAAAGACAGAGATGTAATATCTTTTCTATGAAGTTTAACAGATCATAGTTTTTAAACTTTTTTCCTTAAAATTGTATTTTGCAGTTTTTTTTTTTAAATTATACAAAAGTGCAAAGAAGAAACAAGTTACAGTTTATCTTACTAGCTGGTGATAATCATTGATATTTTTGTTTCCATTTCTATCCCTGACTTTATGCACATATTTTCTTTATTTTAAATATTTAGAATGATTGTATTTGCAGCATATCTTTTCATTTATGTGATTATTTTCCTATGTCTTTAAATATTCTTTATAACAAAGTTGTTCATGTCTGCTTAGCTTAATTTTAAAACATGTTATGATTTGTAATCTATTTAACAAGGGGGCCGGTAGGTGGTGTGGTTATTAAGGTCACTGGATTCCCACATGCCCAACTGTGGTTTGAGCCTTGGATCTGGTGGCTTGCTTTTTCACTTTCCTTCCTTCTCTCCCCCTTTCTCTCTCTGTCTCTCTGACCCTCTCTGGTCAAATTAAAATGAATAAAATAATTCTTTAGAAAAATTTATTTAATAGGATACTTATTACTGGACACTTAAGCTCTTTGCAGTTGTCCTACTTAGCAAAATGTATTATCCTATAATTATTGAACAATCAATTTATTTCCTTAAGGCCATTTTTCTAGAGAGAAACAGAGAGAAAGGGAGAAAGCACCCCTCTTCCCCAGGAGGCATGGTGATACTGCAGTCCCTTTTCTTCCACTTCTCTAGCCCCTCAGAAATTTGGACATGCCCACGCTCGCGCCCACATGGAATCCATCTCCCTTAACTACTAGGCCACAGGGCCACTCCATAGTATTTCTTGATTTTTGACTAGAATGTTCATTTAAAAAACAAACTAGAGGGAACCAGCAGTTAGTGTAATGGCTATGTTGCTGGACTCCCACATAGGCGACCGCGGTTCATGTCCCGGACCTGGTGGCTTAAAACTCACGCCAGGCGCGTGTGCATGCGTGCCCAAGATCCCGAGAGAAGAATGGAGGAGAAGGGATTGCGGCGTGGCCATCCCCCACTGTGGGGTGATTTCTCGCTTTCTGTCTCTATGTCTCTCTCTGTCTGTCTGGTGAACGCATGCGCCCTGTAGTGAAAACCTCTCCAAAAAAAAAAAAAAAAAACCTAGAAAAGAACGTGGTGTGCATGTTGAGCACCCCAATCCACACCTTTGAAATCCAAAATACTCCAAACTGAAACTTTCTGAGTGCTGACATACCAAAAATAGAAAATTCCTCACCTGATGTCACATGAGTTATGATCAAAACACAGGTACAACACATAGTATATTCAGCGTCCCCAAAAGACTCTGTATTAATGATATATCATAGTTTTTACTGTTACTTCCCTACGTGTGAATAAGTGTTAGAAGATGATTGCTTGTCAGTAGCGTCTCAATTCGGAGTCAGGAGTGTTAGTGATCCACAGACTGTCCACATGGGTGGCTGAGAGGGAAACACCTTTGCTTTCTGATGGCTCAGTAGACACAAACTGTGCTTCACGCACAAAATTATTTATAATATTATATGAAATTACCTTTGAGCTGTGTATTTAAGGTCTGGATAAAACACGAACGAATTTCATGTTTAAACTTGAATGCCACCCCCAAATGTCTCATCCAGCCACTCCTCACTTAATAGCCCACCTGTTTGCTAACCGCTCAGACTTAGGACCAGTTCTGCAGTACAGGGACTCCCCCATCTCAGTCTTCATCTCGTTCTTGTAGTCAGTCAGTGTTCACTACAGGAAGCATCGGCAATCAGGCAAGACTACCTCATTTATAAATTTGTACTTAATCGTGTACCCATAGTAGTATTCAGATGAAATAAAAAACAATTAAGCTGGATTTATATTATTGGGTTGTGTGTCTTGTCCCTTTCTGGTACTTACCTAATGTATGCTTTTTGTATGGATCGAAGTACATTATTCTAGTGTGGTGTCACATGATATCTATCAAAAAATTTAGGGAGCCATGACACACCACAAGACATCTGCCTTGGAGCTCCTCGCTTATGGACCAGTTCACGGAAGGATCTCATTGTAGGTGTGGAAGTCGGTTGTTAAGTGAGGAGGTCCTGAAATGAAAATAAATCCAAGACATTTTTCCTAAGCATTTTGGATAAAAGATATTCAACTTGCATCTAAGAAAACTTACATTCTAAGGAATATATAGGTCTTTGATGGTGTCTATGTTTCACCCTAATCCCCACTAAAATAAGATTTTTGTTTATTAAGTAAAAACTAAAATAGTTTGAGCAAGCTAAATATGGCTCTCACATTCCCAATTTTGGAGAATACTCCAAAATGTTCATTTCATGCCTATGTGAAGAGTTCAAATATGAATGTCTTGGAATAAGAAGAATCTTCACGTTTACCTGGGACAGAGTCCTAGCCTAGGCCAGATTCCTTTGGATTTTCTCTATGAATTACTGAGCTTCTTAAACTACTAAAGGTGCCAGGATCCTGGTTATTTCTCTATTTGAAATAAAAACAAAATAAATACAATGAAATGCTGTGTTTTTGGGGTGATCTCCCTCTAAATTATGCCTAATAGTCCTTAACTTGTTATGTAGAGCAACAGTAAAATAAATATGTCCCCCAAATCATTTGATACTTCAAGTATTGGAAGCTTACTGGCCTTTGTCTTTTCCAGGCACAAGACACATGCCTCTTTTAATTTTGTATCATGTTAAGTTTCTAGTTTGTTTTCTCCTCCTGGCTTTATTTCTTGGACATTCTCTCGTTGATTATTATCTCTCATATAATGAATGCCCCCAATCTAATGCAGTGTTCCAGATGTGGTCTGGCCTGGACAGGGCACGATTCCGATGCAGCTCACCATGTTTTAGAGATTACATTTCTTTGAATATTCATGCAGACTAGTGTATTCATTTTCTTTAAACACTCACATCACATTTTTGGCTCCTAAGTTTTTGGTTGTTTCATTTGATCTCAGACTTTTTCTTTTTGAAACCACTGCCAAGTCAAGTCTGTCTTTTCATTCAGAATATGATTTTGTATAATCTAAATGAAGGACTTTATATTCATTTATCCTTGTGGAACTTAATTTTGCTGATTGGGGCTCACATTGTCGTGGTTCTGACCTTTGTCCAATGAGGTTTCTATGATCCAGACTTTGTATTCTCTCCAATGTCGTTCTTATGTCTAATTGTAAGCCATTGATAAAAATGTTTACCAAGGGCAGCGTTCCACCCTGCTGGAAGCCCCTACAAGGGAATCATTTATTAATCGACTGCAGAAACTACTTTTCAGACAATTGCCAATGTACTCCAAAAGGCATATCATCCAGCTGCTGTCTCATTATTTTATTTTAGTCATAATAAAATTTTCCAAGACTATCAGACGCTCACTTGAAACTCATGGGCTATGCTAATTACAGTACTCCGATCTCAGAAACCTCGTCAAAAGCTGAAATAGCTGAGATGACGTAACCTTGGCTTTCCTTACTCTTTTCTCTTTCCCACTGCCCACCCCTTCTTTCTTTTTAATATTCAGAGGATTTCCTTATTGTCATTTATTCTAGAATTTTGTTAGGAATTAAAAGATATTGGGTTGTGGGAAAAGCCAAGATGTACTTTTCTATGTTTCTATGCAAAAATGCATTCTGAATTTTCCAACAACCCAATATTTTTGTTGAATCATTGTTCTAAAATTTTCCTTGTCTTTTTTGAAAGCTAGAATTTAAGTATTTAGCATTTCATGTCTTAGCATCTCCGTTTTCCATGATGCTTCTAAAATAACTGACACTACCTCGAAGATTATATTAATAAACTCCTTTAGAATCCAAGTGTGTGAGGAGTAGTGGGCATGGAAGCTCGCATTTACTTTAAAGCACTTCTATGGGTGTTCTTGAACCGACTGTTTCCCTTCTTATGTTGGCCTGTGAATGTTGACCTCCTCAGAAAAGCTAGTTGTCCTTTGATCTGATAAT